TGTGTGTGTGTGTGTGTGTGTGTGTGTGTGTGTGTGTGTGTGTGTGTCGGTTGCATGGCAGTGTAGATAGGACCAAGGTACAATGGGCAAAGAGTGTGGGAGTCAATGTCATTTTCTTATAGACCTCTAGCTGTTAGTGGCTTCAGGTCCTAAAGGGGACATAGCTGGGTGTTTGCTGTCATTTCTGTTTGTTGTTACTGTTGTTTTGTGAGACTCAGTCTTCTATATTTCAGCTGACCTTCCATTTGCTGTGTATGTAGCTAGGGATGACCCTGAACTCTGATCCTCCTGCCTCCACCTCCTGAGTGCTGGGATTGCATGTGTGTACCAGCACGCCTGGTTTACTGGATGCTGGGGCTCAACCCCAGGGCTTCATGCATGTGAGGCCAGCACTGTATCTACACCCCCGCAGCCCAGCCCCCCAGTTTATTGAAACTGTGTGGAGACTGCCCCACCCACTCTCTCGCCTCCCTAACCCCCTGGTGGGCTCCGTTCTCACTTGCCTCCCCTAGGCTTGAGGCTCTTGTCTCCATCTGATTCCAGAGACTTTTGGTGTGTTGATACCTCTCATGTCTGGGTCATGCCTGGGTGTGGCTCTGCCTGAGTCCTCCTCGGGAGATGGGCTGTGTCTTCCCCTGCAGGTGATTTCCTGATGCTAGAGTCTGTCTTGCCTCTCAGACTAGGGTCTGTTTCTTCAAGAAAAAGGACACCACAGGACAGTGCTAGCTTCTTACCACTTGAAGCCTCAGCAGGTGGGGGCTGTCCCTATCTTTACTTGGAGAGGACCAGCCTCAGAACAGGGACTATTCACTCTCCCTTTAGCCTCTGCCCAACGAGAAATGAGCTCTGAGGCTGCAGAATGACCCTAGACTGGACCCCTGCTTCTTCCTCCTAGTGCCCTGCCTCTTCCTATTGTTGGAGTCATCAGCTCAATTCCTTTCTCATAGGTCCTGGGGCCAGGCTGCTGTGGCAGGGTTAACAAGCTCAGGCCCTTTCTCTCTCACCTTTCCCAGCCCCAGCCAGGTCCACTCCAGCTTGGCCTTTACCTCCTGGTCTCTAACCCGGAGATCTGCTTTTTAATTGCTTTCCCAGTCTGCTTTGCGCTTCTCTCCCCCGTACCTCCCCCCACCTCCCCGGCCTGGTTGGGTCCCTCAGGGGTGGTGAGAGGCCATATGGGCCCCTGGTGGGAGAAAAGGGCTAACAACCACCCACTATTTCTAGCTCAGCAGCCCTCCAAGTGGATAGGATGGGCCAATAGATAGGGCTGTGCTGAGCAGAGGAGAGAGACCCACAAGGCTTAGTTGAATAGTTTTCAGATCCCTGGCGGTGAATCTGGTCCCTTCCTCCTTTACCAATATTCATCCCCAACTATCCTGAATTCCTCTTCACAGAAGAACTATGGAAAGCCAGCAGGGTGGCACATGTCCTTGGGCAATGAGTTCCAGGCCAGCCTGGTTTACAGAGTGACTTCCTGGACAGACAGCACTACACAGGGACTTCCTGTCTCAAGCAAGCAAACAAACAAACAAATACAAAAGATATGGAATAAAGGATAATATGACTTAGATTCTGTCGGGAATCAGGATCCCTCAAGCACAGCCCGGAGGCATTCCAGGGAGAATGCAGTCAGGTGAGTGGGACACTATGACAGAGCTCATGAATTAGCAGCCAAGGAGATGCCCCAGGTTGGGCCGGATCTCCTGGGAAGGGGGCAAGCTGAAGGCTACACACACGGGGAATGGAGAAGGTAGGTTTTGCTGTTCAATTCTGTTTCAGGGCTGGATGCCACCCCTTCCCCCACCACAAAGGTTTTCAGCTCTTGGCCACAAGCCTGGTTTTGTGAACTGGGTAGAAATGCGTACTCCCACAGCTGGTCCTGATCTGAGCTTCAGTGTGAGCAAGGGGGTGGCTCTGAAGGGTGTAGAGGTGACAGGATTTCTAAACTCACAGAAGCAGGGCTGGGATGATGCAGGCAGAGGGGGTGTAGGCCAGGCTGGTCTATGGATGGGGAAGCATTGATTACCACATCTCATGGATGACTCTATGAAGGAACAATCCAATTTCAGAGTCTCATCACCCATGCAAGTCAGGTGGAAGCTGGATGTCAGCTCACTGCCCTCCTGCAGTCCCGGCTGGCCCAACCACGTATGGTATGCCGGATACCACACAGCAAGCTCCCAGTCCGACCTCCTATGATTGAGGGCAGAAGCCACGAGTGCCTAACGCCGTCAGCCCAGAGCCTTTGTACATTTTATGGGTCACCCAAGAGCACACTTTGTACCACAGAGTCACAAATGTTTGCTGAATGAATGGCTGGCTGCTGGACACCCTTGTCAAGGGTGACCTCTTCTGCTGTCAGGCTGCCCCCAGCCTGGGAAAACTCTGCCTCATGCAAGGACCCTATCGTGCAGAGTGTGCCCTCCTGGCCCTTGTTACTAGTTGCCTTGTCCCATGCTGACTGCCTCTGCACTTGAAGAGGGAGGATCAGAAGAGGTAAGATGTGTGAATACCCCAGGAAATGGAGAAGTTATTTTATCTGAATCCAGCCATCACTCAGCGAGGCCTCCTGAAGTGAAACCGCTGTGCCAAGCTGCCAGGGGATACAGATGGGAATCTCTGTCTGCTTCGAGGGAGCCATGGTACACAGGGGAACAAACTCATTAAGACTAATTGGAGAGGCGGGAACCCCATGCCTGAGAAAGAGAAATGATGGTCTGTTCTCTTCAAAAAGGAAGCAGCCCTGCGTTATGTAAAAGCCAGAATGTAGGCTAGGTCCCAAACACTCGCTGTCCAACTGCTGGCGAGTTGGGCGGAGGTGTTTGATTCTCTTACCCTTCCTATAGGGCCAGCGTAAGCTCTGGGATGAAGCTCAGCAGTGGCAGCACAGGAAAGCTTCGCCACCTGCTTTCCCTGACTCTCCTGAGAAGGGACAGAACTAAGCAGGAGGGTCCCGGGCAGGCAGAGAGTGGCTGCTCCCCTGAACAGCAAGGACTCCTTTGAACCTGGCCGGCATTATTTACATACTATTCACGATGTGCTAAATATCCTTAAATTGTTTGTTTTCAGAAGCAAGTTCAACACTGGCTCCTGTAATTGTTTACACTATTAATTCACTCAGCCAACCATGTCTTCATGGAGAGAACGGAGATAAGCATGCTGAATTGCTATACAATCCAGCAAGCGGAAAGGATGGTGTAGGAGTGGGGAGAGAAGCAGGCTACCCTGGACTCTAGTTAGATTCCCTTGGAGCCTTACTTCAGACCTGAGTACTACCCAAAAAGGACCTACCTGAAAACAGAAAGACTCACTCCTAAGGTCACAGCATGTAATAGATATCCAAGTGAGAGCCCTTTTGTTTGTTTATATATGTGTGCATGTATTTATTTTTTGTGACAGGATTTCTCTGTGCAGCCTTGGACTCGCTTTGTAGACCAGTCTGGCTTTGAACTCACAGAGATCTGTGTGCCTCTGCCTCCCGGAGTATTGGTATTTACCAGCGTGTGCCACCTCGCCCAGTTGCAAGATTCCTTTTAAATCTACTGGGAGCAAAGATCCTAAAAGGAAGAAACATGCAGGCAACATGCATGTCACAGCGTGCTTGTGTGTGGTCAGAGGACAACTCTGTGCAGTGGGCTTGGGGACTGAACTCAGGTTGTCAGGCCTTTAAAACAAGAGCGTTTACCTGCTGAGCCTTCACTCAGGCCCAGATCCAAAACAAAAGGCTGCAGGAGGCCAGGCAGGTACTGCTTTCTGAACTCCTAAGTTTCTTGAACAAGGGCTGCAAGCATGCTGGGCAAGGCCCCTACCACTGAGCTACAGCCTTGGAAGTTTCCTGGCTTTTTTTCCCCCCATGTTATATAGCAAAAGTTGGCTTCTAACTCGTGATCCTCCTGCCTCAGCTTCCCAAGTGCTGGGATTACAGGCATGTGTCACCAGCTCTGAGACCTTAAAGGTAAGAAAGGGAAGGTGGCACTAACCTATGAGGTGGTAGAAAAAAGAAAACACTCCAGGGATGGAGATATACTAACCATCACAGTAAAAAACAATCTGTGAGTCTCCAGGCATACACCTGCGTGTGTACACAGAAATCTGTATGTGTGTATGGAGAAGGCAAGGATGAGAAGGATGCCGAACACCAACATGGCCAGCTGGCATTTATACCTGACTGGTAGCACTAAGGCTATATTCCCTCCTTCTGACATACTAAATGTGTGTCCTGTGTTTAGTGAGTGAGAATAACAAATCTGGTGTCCTTTACAAACCAAAGCCCTGTCACGAGCTGCATCATCGTCAAGGAGTGAGGCATTCCCACCTCAGCTGTGCGCACAGGGCTGAAGAAGCCTATGCCAAACACCAGAAGAGCCAAGCCAGGACCTGTCAGCAGCCCATCTTTTGTCCTTGAGCACCTTCACTGTGCAGAGCCCTGTCAGACAGGAGGTTGAGGGGTAAAAACAGACCCCAAGAGTTCCTGGTTTGCACGGAAGGCTTTGATATGAGAAAGCCCGAAAGGGTCCTTTAATATAACCATATGTTTAACACTCGCAAACAAATACACACATACCAAGAAGCTGAGTGTGACAGAGATTAAGAAAGAAGGCAAATGGCTGGTGAGTGGGTGGGGAGGGGCGTTAATACAGGAAAGGCATGTTGGTGTTAATTGTTCCAAAGTGAGAAAGACAGGTCAGGGGCTCTTGGTGTTGGCAGCTCCAGACACCAGAGAAGGCTGTCAGCCTAGAGGTGTTGGCGGATCAGGACAAGCATGGAGGCCAGGGGTCGCTCATGGTCAGTTAACAGCACTCTGTCATTCCAGTCAGTCCCTTATGAGTCCTCTGGTCACTAAGGCAGTGCGGACTCAAGGGTGGTTCTGCAGGCCAAGTGAAGACAGAGAGGGGCACAAAAGAACAAATGAGGCTCTGTCCCACAGTTCCCTTGCCTCTCAGCCCATCCTCCTCCTCCCTCATCAGGGTCCCCAAAATGCTTGGAGGTACTTCAGGTCCTCCTTCCATGTGGGGTTCCATCCTCCCTGTCCTACTCCCATTTTCATCTGCTGTTACTGCCCAGCTATACTTGTCCCCAGTTCCACTTACCTGGGACTGTGAAGGGTCTGTCGGGCTTCTTCAAGACGCTACTGGGGAGGCGGGCAATGCAGCTGCGGCCTCGGGAGACTGAGGACCTGAGGGAGGAAGGCAGGGAGGCAGGAAGGTAGGAAGGTGAGGAGATCACAGGCATGCTCTGGACTGCAGGCGTGTGCGGAGGTGGAAGCGGGGTAGCTAGGCACTGAGCCTTGAACAGTTTACATGGCCACGTGAAAGAAAGCGGGAGGCACAATGAGGGGAGACCTATGGAATGAGGGCCGCTCAAGGAAGCTGAGGTGAGGGAAACCTTCAGTCAGTGGATTAACAAGGAACAACGACTATCTCCCTCATGGGTAAGGGGCAGGGCCCACAGCATCTCTGGGAACACCTTGTGATAAAGAGCAAAGACCAGGAAAATTTCAGTCAGAGAACTAAACGCTAGCTAGCCCTGTTCACAGGCTCTTGGCTGCTTTCTCCAAGATGAAAACCAGGTGGGGGCCTGTGCTCAGCTGGTGGCCACCGTTCTCGTTAGGGCTTTCCTTTCCCCACCTCCCGCCTCACCTTACAGCGTGCCTCTTCTTGTCAGCCTTGGCTGCAGGAAGAGAAGGCTTGGGGCCCTTCGTGGTGAATAGGACAGGTGCGCTGTGGGGCAGGAGAGGCAGGTCAGGAGGGAACCAGAAATGCTGCTGACCGGTCTCCTCCCTCCACCCTCCAGCTTGCTGGAAGGGAGGCTGGACCAAATGACCCAAGGCTTTTTTCTGCTAAGAGGTGGCCTCTCTCCCTGCCTCTCACAGTCTGGGCTGACAGCTGAGTGACAGCCCTGTTCTGGGAGAACATCCAGATGTCAGTTTCTGGTGTGTCCTGGGAGCTGGAGTTCAAGCAATTTCACCCTTCCACCTGCCCGGCTCTGAGCTTGTTACTGAGAGCCTGCTCTGGGACCATGGAGGTGCGGGGCTGTGCGCCTCACACAACCAGGTCGATCAGCCACTTGTTCAGTCCTGAGCAGTTGCTGTTCCCCTCCCCCATCAGGCAGAGGACACTAGAAAATACTGAATAAAGTTCTATTACCCTCATCCCCTTACACACTTTTTTTTTTTTTTTTTTTTGAGACAGGGTTTCTCTGTGTAGGCCTGGCTATCCTGGAATTTACTATATAGACTAGGCTGGCCTTGAAATCACATCTGCCTGCCTCTGCCTCCTGAGTGCTGGGATTATGGACGTGCGCCACCACGCTCAGCTTGACTTTCCTATTTCAGATGCTGGGATGGACAGAAAAATCTGGAGGACAAGTAGATGAAATGGGTTTTAATTGCCTGTGTGATACAAACTCAGAACGGGTCGTGGAACCAAAACAAAGCATGAGACATGCAGGGCTGGGCGTGTTAACTTCTGGTTCCCTGACGACCCTTCTTAAGTTAAGGTCCCAGTGGCTACTCATGAGCCACTAGCCAGCAGAGTTGGTGGGCCCAGGAACAGGGGTCTCTAAGATGGGCCATGTTGCCTTACCACTGCCTACTCTGCTTTCCTGGGCCTGGGGGCAAGGTTGGCAAGTGACTGCGGGGAGGCAGATGGCAGATGTCTCTGCTCCAAGTGTCGGGCTGCCTTCTACCTTCTGGGAGCTATGGGAAAAGCCCGGAGACTCACCTGGGGACAGAGGGCTGGTCTGTGCTACTCAGCTCTGGGAGAACTTTCTTACAGCCAATAAGTTCATGGAAGCTGGGTTTAGAGGGGGACTCCTCCAAGACATTGAAGGTGGCGTTGAGATCACGGGCAGGTAGGGCCAGAGGAGTAGAGCAGTTCTGTAAGGCAGAAGTGCCCAGGGGTGCCCGGCTTTTAATGACTGTAGCTGGGCAGACTCGGGAGGAAGGGGAGGGAGAAGAGGCCTTTTCTCCTTTGGGAGTTCTGGGCTCGGAGCAAGGCTGGGCCTTAGGTAGAGAGCCCCTCCTCAGGAAGGGAAGGAAGGACTGGCGCTGACGCTTAGTCTCCTGATTTGGGGCTGCCGGGCTGCCTGGCTCTGTGGGGTTCAGTTTCCTTTTTTTCTTCTTCTTCTCGATGGGCTTTTGGCCCATCTTATCTGAGGCACAGTCAGGTGCGAGCGGGATCCCCAGAGTGTGTGTGAGGCCATTCAGTTGCTTTGCCATGGTCCGGGTCACAGGACCACAGTATCCTGAAGACTCTGGAGGAAGAGGAAAAAGGTGCTGAAAAGGGACCTGGGGCTGGCCAGAGAGAAGAGGAGTGTATAGAATAAAGGGAGCAGACATCAGAGGCACAAAAGAGCCCCTAGTTCCTCAGTTCTCTTTGGCCTGTTTGTGTATAGAAATTCATGACCTGGGGCTCCAGTCTCTCACCACAGTACAGCATCTGGCCCTAGGACACACCTTGGCTACAGGTGGGCCCTAGAGGTTGCACTAATAGGTGAGACAGAGCAAAAGTGATACTCACTAGAGTCTGAACATAGCTCCTGGGCTAGAGGTTCCCCCCTGGCCAGACCAGGGGACCTGGGGTTTTCAGCCACATGTTCAGTGCTTTCCTCATGCACCAACTGCTGCAGGGTCTCAAATTCTGAGATCACATCAGGGCTCAGGAGGTTGGCTGCCTGCAGCAGGGAGTATTGCCGCTGGGCCAGGCACAGCACCCGGAGGGCCAACCTGCAACAGAGGGAAGAGAATATGTATACAACTTAGTCAGACCAGGCAGCTGTTTGCACACTGCCCATCAGTCTAGATGTGACGGAGGGCACTCGGGCTAGCCTTCCAGCTCCCACCCTCTTTCTGGCCGTGGATGGCCTGAATGAGTAACCTTAACGAAGGCCAACACCTCCACATGTAAGATGGGAGGTGTCACTTAAGCCTACATGCCTACAACAAAGACAGTGAGCTGGGAAACAGGATGAGTGCCATGTGACCTTGGACTTGGGAGGTCTGAGTTCCTCCTCAGCTTTGTCACTTAATACTGCTGTGGTCCTTTTGGCATCATGAGGCCCAGACTGGCCTTGAACATGCTATACAGCTGAAGATGTCCTTGAACTCCAGATCTCCTCTCCAGGCTCCACCTTCCAAACACTAGGGTTACAGATGTGGTTGATACTCCTAGCTTACTCAAGTTCATTTACCCCCAGGGTACGACAGCAGCTAAGAACCAGATCTGGACAGTCCCAGCTCATTATGTCCCAGCGGCAGGATCTTGACAGCCCTGGTTAAGACAGTCTCAACAACTTTAAAAGGGTGGTAGCAAGCACAACCACTTCATAGGGCTGCTGGAAATGCTGACGGAAGGCAGTTCTATTTCTTTATTGGTTTTCCAAGACAGGGTTTCTCTGTGTAGCCTTGGCTGTCCTGGAACTCACTCTGTAAAGCAGAGATCCGCCTGCCTCTGCCTCCCAAGTGTTGGGGCTAAAGGTGTGCGCCACCACATCTAGCTTTGTTGATGGCCTCGCCACATAACTCTGGTTGGCCTGGAACTCAGACACTGCCTGTGTAGACTTCTGAGTTCTAGCACTAAAGGAGGCATGCGCCATCATACCTGACCTAAGTGACTTATTTTACATGCAGATTATTTAAAGAATGCTTGTCAAAAAGTAAACTATTATTTTTGTAAAATGGTACCTATCTTGTTGGAATAAGGGGAGATTAAATAAGACAGGCTATGTTGACTATGACTTTGAGAAGACCCTTAAAAACACATTTGGAGATGTGTTTTCTAGCTAATGGTAGGGATCCTAAAAAAGTGTGTGAAAATCATCACACATTTCACATGTACCAAAGGACTACTTAAAGGAAATTCTGAGAGTAATGTGATTATTGATATTGTAAATTTAGATTCTCATAAAGCAAGTCTTCTTCCTCTAAGGCACGCCTATGATAAAAGAATAAACAGAATTACCTTGGTAAGGATTATTCATGGCAAATGATTTATCCTCAGGTAACCACCTGTCTGGACTCTCTGAACCCCTTCATTGCCCTCAGTCAGTGTGTGCTCAGGAAACACAAACTCATTTGGCAAAGCAGCCTCCAGGCCTTTGTGAAAGCAGGCAGGACATTAATTAAGGAGGACACGGTAGAAACGCTGTACCATTCTGAGCCACTATTATGAGGAAGATTTGAACTCAAAGAGTGGGCATTGGAATTAACATACCTGCCTGGATATCAGATGGCCCAGGTCTGGCTTTGTTTTCACTCTGTGCCCTGGACAAAAGCCACAGCTCCGCAGTGGACAAGTGGGCTTTCAAATTAGGTTTCAGCACACATAAGATAGAACAGCTCTGATTTGTCTGTCCTGTGTATTAGACCTCAGCATAAGATTTCATGTGACACCTTTAATCCCAGCTTGGGAGGTAGAGGCAAGCGATCCTTGTGAGTTAAGGCCAGCCTGGTCTACATAGTGAGGTCCAGGACAGCCAGGGATTCATAGAGACCCTACCTCAAAACACCAAACAAACAAACAAACAAAATAAAAAAAGAAGAGAGATTTTACAACTGAAAAATAAAAAGTCTTGAAAAATCACTGAACTGGAAAAAAAAAATCTCCAATCTGTTCACTGTCCTGGTGATCCAAGTTCTAATCAAGTCAAAAAGACTATTATCTGGTTGCCAGAGCTTTTCCAAATGCAAAGGACACCAAGACACTCTACAACAACTGATCCTTGGGATCCTGTGTCATCTTTTATTATTTCATCTCAAAGAACTGAGGGCATAAGAATTATGATTTTTCAAATCACAGCCTAGTTGGAAGTAACTTGTCAGAGACCACCAGACAACAGGCAGAGAAAAAAGGATGACCAAGTGGCCTCTCTCTTTAAAATGGGGGACACCAGGCAGCAAGACAGAGTCATCCACGGGAGCCAGTAGTTGGGAGGCCGATGGGACATCCCACCCACCCGCCCACATATCCCTGCCTCCTCAGGCCCAGGGAGTTGGCAGCATGAGACAGATAATGAGCCTTTGATTATTCAGGCCGCAGCATTTTTGCTGAGTCGGGAACAGACACTCTCCGACAAGAAATAAAATTAAGCAGGCCCTTCTGTCCAGAAGCTTTAAATACACTGCCTAGTGTGAACCGTGCTGGGGAGGGGAGGGAGTAGCAACACTAAATGGCAGGGGATATGTGTCCTGGGGGCCATGGGAAAACGAGAAAAAGCCCTCTATGTGACCCAGAAGAAATGGTCCAAATCTTTTCCTCTTTGGCTTAGGGTGGAGGCCCTTACTTATTTCTGAGAAAAATTAGCCACAGTGTTGTTGAGGATGTATTGGAAAACCTGATTCATGAAGGTTGCCCCTTCTTCTGTCTGGGGGCCCGCTCTTCATCGCTGTGGACAGCAGTCCTGCCCACAGACTGGAAAGCCACCTGTGAGCCCCAGCAGCCAGCCCCACCTAGCTTAGTGCTTGCTGTCTGTCTTGGAGACTGGGGAGGGCTGCCTTCCTTGTCTGCCAGGTCGCCAATGATTTGGCAGTGTAAAGAGTGGAGACAGACAGGTAGGATCCGTGATCCCAGCAAGGCCTTAAACTAGTGTAGGGCAAGGTTGATGAAGAGGGAGTTAAAAACAGCGATTCTGGCGCACACCTTTAATCCCAGCATTCTGGAGGCAGAGGCAGGAGGATCTCTGAGTTTGAGTTTGGTCTATAGAGCGAGTTCCAGGACAGACGGGACTACACAGAGAAACCCTGTCTCAAAAAACCAAAAGGAGAAAAGGGACTTGACTGTCAGCTAAGCAGCGGCACTTTCATGACATTCTGAACATCAGCTCCTACCCCAGGAGTCTGACCTGTCACACTTCCCACCGTGGAGAGAAGACACCTACTGCTTAAAGTGGTCCCCATCCAGTTTCTGTGGTGAGTGTTGGCTCATGGCTGGCTTTGGCTGCAAAATTGGACTAGGGGGCTCTGGCAGGCTCGGCTCTGGCAGCTGGGTTGGAAACTGAAGAAGAAGGAGGAGGCATTAGTAGAGCAACCAGAATGATCTGAAATCCTTCCCCTGGGCTGCTGACATGACTCAACAGAAAAGGGGGCTTGCCACTAAGCCTGAAGACCTGGGTTCAATCCCTGGCACCCACATGGTCAGAGAGACGCGACTCCCACAAATTGTCCTCTGACACACATATGCACTATAGCATGGACACACGCAATTAAAAAAATCCTCCCCTCCCTTCTCCAAGACTCTTTCTTTTTTTCTTTTCTTGTTTTTGTTTGTTTGTCTGTCTGTCTGTTTTTGTTTGGTTTGGCTTAGTTTTCGAGACAGGATTTTTCTGTGTAGCCTTGGCTGTCCTGGACTCACTTTGTAGACCAGGCTGGCCTCGAACTCACAGAGATCCTGCCTCTGCCTCCCAAAGTGCTGGGATTACAGGTGCACACCACCGCACCCCAATTTTCCCAGCCACTTTTAAACATATAAGCACCTGTCATAGTCAAGCCATGCGTGTGGGAAGAGAAAGGGGAGTTGCCTTCCTGATAATTCCTCTAGCCTGCATCCTACCAAGGCCCAGGCTCCACACCCACAAGTCCTACCTGCTTGCCCTGTGGGCACTGCTCCTGTTCTGAAGCATTTTCTTCCACACACCCCTGTCCCTGGGCCTCTGTCCCCAGGCTCTCCTCTTGAAGCGTTCCACACTTTGCTTGGAGTTCTGGGGTGTAGGACTGGCTGGAGTGCCCAGGCTGTAATGGGGAGCTAGAAAGGCTAAGGAGGAAGTGAATTTTGAGAGGCTTAAGAGGTGGAGTGAACAGGAGGCAGAATTTTTTGGTATCTGGGTGGCAGAGCCCATATGCAACAACTGAGTGACAAATGGGTAGCCACTGGGAGTGGGCAGTGTCAAAGGCTTTCTGGTTTGAGACAATGATGGCCAACCCCTAAGCTGACCTCCTGATGAGGAGACACTGCTTATGTGGGCTCGGGCATTAGCTATTCATCTTCATCTAGGTACCGATTAGTTGCTGGGTCCTGGCCAGGAACCCTTCAATTTAGATGTTGAAACATAGGCAAATATTCCAAGCCCACAAAATGACAAAAAAAAAAGGGAACAGGGCTCATTCCTTCTGCAGCTCATTTAATGGGAGGGGGGGGCGGGGACAAGAAAGAGCAGCCAAGCTCACCTCAACTTGGGCGGCTGTACGGAACGCTGTTGCAAGGCCTGGGCACCTGTCTCATATGCCTGGAGTTTCTCCCTCAGGGCTGTCACCTGAAATCCAGTCCGAAGAGCCCCAGGTGACCACAAAGGCCAGGGGTGGGCACAGAGTCCTGGCAGGGTCCCATCTTCTGTGTCTTGCTCCCTGCCCTAAGTCTGCTTCCCAAGGGATTCCTCACCTCGGCCTGGAGCTGCTGGCAGATGACAGCGTACTGGCTGATGTGCTGGTCCAGGCTGATCACGTTGCTCTTCAGCTGAGATGGGGCACAGAGAAGAGATGTTTATTCAAACAAGTAACAGCTCTCTCCATGGGCGAATGCTGTGTGGGATACCTCCCTTGTGTTACCGTCACTCACTCTCCCCAGTCAGATAAAGGAGCAGAGGTCAGTGATGTGCCTGGGAGCACAGCAAGGGCGGAGGAGTGTATGTGGCCTGAGCCCTGATCTGACCTTAGCAATCTGGCCAGTTTGGGGCGGCTCTGTAACATCTCCAGATAAGCAGGGTTCAGTGCAGGGACAGGCAGGGCAGACCAGAATTCTCTGCTTTTGCCAGTATACATGGGTATTATGCCACTTCATTGAAAATAGGGCTTTGTTGCCTGTAGCAAGCCTGGACATCCTGCCTCAGTCTACCTGAAGTCTTCACTGAGGAAGAATATCACTGATTCTATCACAAAGACCATTCATGAGTCCTAGGAACCTTCTGTGCCTGGGGACACTGAACAGGAACCTAAGGGGGCTCCCTCCCTGCTAGCACGCACCGTGAGTCTGATCTCCTTGGCACGGTCAGCATACTTGAGGGTGTTGTAAGTATCTTCATAGGTGAGGCTGGAAGGGCTGATGGCAGCAATCATCACAGTGCGGCAGTTGCCCCCAATGGAGTCCTTGAGCAGGCGGGTCAGCTTGCTGTCTCGGTAGGGCACGTGAGACTTGCGGCCCTAGGGGCAGCGAGCGGAAAGCTGGGTTAGATTGCCCTGTGCTGGAAGGAGGGTGCTCACTTTCTGTTTTGGGGGGCTGGGCCAGCACTGCATTACCTTTGCATCGGCCAGGGCATTGAGGACATTGATGAGTGCTAACAGAGACCGGTTGATGTTGGCACCCTCCCGTAGCCGCTCTCCTTTGGCATGGGTGCTAGATGCCCGCTCTGAGCCAGCCAGGTCAATCAGGCTCATCTTGGCTACCTGAAGGGCCTGAGTCAGTCCTGGAACTCGGTCCCGCTGCTTCACAAAGATCTGGGGACAAAGGGTAGGAGTAAGGGGTGCAGACACCAGGACCCACAGCTTTAAGCTGAGCACGTGATGCCGCTCACCTGGAAGATGGCATGAGAGCGGGAAGATGTGGCGTTGGCATCCGTGGGGTGCTGTGTGCGGCTGCAGTTGCCTCTGGTCAGCATTTCCAGTAGCTGCTCGGCTGAGGTTGGCTACAGAAAGAATAGATACCCAGGGAGGGGGCTGTGTCTTACCACCACGCTTTTCTCCTGGCAGAAAGGCTGCTCTGCAGAGCCTGTCATACTCGATTGCCGCGGCAACCACCACCACAATCACCACCACCACCACCACCACCACCACCACCACCACCACCACCACCACAGCATCCAGGAGATTCCCAAATTGCCATTTGAGGGCACCACAGAAGACCAGCGAATACCTGGTGGAAAGAAAGTCCTGGCACCACAACACCCTTATCTGGGTCCTCACGGATGGTGAGTGGTCCTTTGGGTTCCAGGAGGTCATGGATCTGTTCATTATACACCTTCGGGGAAAGGATAAAAGGGAGAGACCTGAAAAACATCCTTCCTGAGACAGCAACTCTGACAGCAGTACTTTGCATGGTGATGTCAGCTGACAAGAGCAGGGAGGACATGTTTTTTCACATGGTCTCTCACTGGTGTCCCCTGGACCCTCTTCAGGTGTTCTGGGAGTGAAGTATGATGGAGGCCAGAGTGGTAGCAGCCATACCTCCAGGTAGCTGATGAGCACCTCAAATTGTTTTTCTTCCCGGAGGGCTTCCAGACGCCTGTATAGTTCCATGGTGGTCAGATACATGATGCCAGGCTCCCCCTCCCTTCCCAGCATAGTGTGTGTCTTGCCGGCCCCGGTGGCTCCGTAGGCAAACACTATAAAGGACAGAATGGGGAAGAGCGTGGCAGCAGGGTCAAGTCTTCCTCTCCTAGGGCTGTCCCAGCACATACCACCAAGCTCAGCCTTCCCAAGTCCCTTTCCCCTGCTGTCTACTACCACCGTCCCAAGGCTCCTACCACTGGTACTCCCTCAGTGTTCAAGGTCAGCCTGTGTTCTCCCTGGGCCTGTCCTGGCTCCCCACAGCCTGTGGATCCCAGGCCAATGGGATCTGCCCTGGAGTTAAGGACTATCCCTTCCTTCTCCAAGCTCGGGCTGCCTTCTGATGGCAGTCCACAGTTTTTCTTGTTTCACTCCCCTGGGTTTGTAATAAGCATCAAGAGTTCAAAACCATGTCTAACTAATTGGCTACTCTAGACTAGGGCCCAGGGGAATGCCTTGCATGGTCAAGTGAATGAATGGAGCCCCCTGTACAGAGAGATTGGAAGATACATGGAACCCTTTTCTCAAAAAGCAACAGAGGCAAGCCCACGACCCAGCGGGCAGTTCTCACCCGAACAGTTGTAGCCCTGGAGGAAGCTGTCAAGGATGCTGTGTGTAGTGTGCTGGAACACATCCTGTTGTGTGGCCACCTCCCCAAAGACCCGGTCAAAGACAAATGTCAGGTCTTTGCCCTTCTTCTTGGGGCCATTGTGAGAGCCACTCCATTTTAGGCCAGGAAATCCCCCGTCACACTCCTCGGGGTCAAACACCAGCATCCGCTCATCTACCACCTGAATCACAGGCCGCCGCTGACTTTCCAGCTCCCTAGGGGTGGGAGGCCTCACCCGCACGACCACCCGGACCACGCTGTCTTCCACAGCCATCACCATGGCAACACCTGTGCAGACAGAGGAGGACCAAGCCAAGTCAGGGGTATGCTTCAGCATTGCAGAGCCTTTCCCCCACCTTCCTAGTGGCTGACCTCCACTTTACTTTGTCCTCCAGAGAGCAAGACAGTGGGAGCAGGGTCAATTATTAACATGGATCTTTCCCACTTGAAATACCACTTCTGCATTCTTTAAGTGACTCTGTTTCCAAAGGTCTTTTACTGGACTTCCTATATTTTCTGCTAAGCCATTTGGTTACAGGGCCAGCAAGATGGCTCAGCAGGTAAAGGCGCTTGCTGCCAAGCCTGATATAAGTTCAATCCCCAGGACTCCTGAAAGTTGTCCTCTGACCCCAACCCATGGGGTGTGCTGTGTGGCATGGCCCCTTCCGAAAAATAAAATGTAATAAACAGTTTGTCTATACTCACACTACTACCATACTTTTCCTGCTGTTAAAACACACTTTAAATCTAGTAGCAAGACTTCTCCGCTGGACTTTTTTTATAACTATTATTATTATTATTATTCCCAGGCATTTGCTATGCTATTTGACTTTTTTTTTTAATAGAAATTTTTATTGGTGCTAGCCCTGGTTTTGCAAGACTATAATTCCAGCTACAGGAGAGGATGAAGCAGGAAGACCACGAGTTCAGAACCTGCCTGTGTTAGAATAAAGTCCTGTCTCAGATAAGTAAACAAGAAAGAAATAAGGTTGGAGTCAAGTATGTGTGAAGCTCTGGCTTCCTTGCTAATACCAAAGGGGAGATAAAGGAGAAATAAACTGTAGCTTAATGGAACACTTATTGCTAGCATACTGCTAGCCACTGATCCCCAGCACCACTGTATACATATATACATAAATAGCAAAATACAAAAGAAAGCAAAATTGTATTCATGTAACCCCAACCCAGAACACGCTTTTAACCCTGATATGATTACAGCTGACACTGTATCAAATTTACACACTTCCTGAGCATTTTAGCCTGTACCCACAGGCAGAGGCAGGAGGATTTCTATATGTCCCAGGACAGCCAAGGCTACCTAGCTTGACCTAGTCCTAAAAAACCCAAAACCAACTAAATAAAACTATTTAGGCAAAAATGTGGCTATTAATTATTCAGCTATTTTTATGTTCCTCAAGATGTTTTCAGTTTTCCAATAATTGTCTTCCACATGTTATATAACTGCACTTTAAAATATTTTAATTTTGAAATAATTTAATGTCTATGCCCATGTGTGTGGATACTGCATGTGAGGCCAGAGCAGGTTGTCAGCTGGCAGTTGCCAGTCACCACATGTTGGTGCTGGGCATCAAACTCTCATCCCTGGAAGAACATTAACTATTCTCAATTGAGATCCATCCCTCCAGCCCTGTAATTACTATTTTAATGTCATCCCCAAGTATGGATTTAATTACTTTTCCAAAAAATTCCATTGATTATTACCGCGTAAGGAGGTCAGAGGATAGCTCTGAGGGGCTGGTTCTCTGCATCCACATTTACACAGGAACTCAGGTTTCCAGTATTGTACAGCGAGCACTTTTACCCATGGAGCTGCCCCACTAGCCCAATTTAATTGCTATTATGAATGGAACATCTTCCCCTACTTCCATCTCCAACTGAGCTTTAGAGATGTATCCCATAGTTAACACCCTTAAATCCTCTTATTTAATTCCAGTACTTTTAAGTTTCTTGGACTTCCAAATAAACCCTTATGTGTTTGAGAATTTTCCCCACCCTTTTCTCCATATTTAAAGCATATTTAAGTTTCTGTGTATGTATGATGTGTGTGTGTGTGTTCATGTATGTGTTCATGCATGTGCATAGAGGTCAGAGAACACCTTGCCTTCACCTTGTACAAGGACCTTTACCTTTAATAATAGAATTGCTATTAGAAACATACAGCCCTTTAGCACCTTCTGATAACGTTTGTGTGTCTTCTCTCCCCGGGGTACATTATTGGATATTGCTGGTACCAAAGCAACCATGTATCCCTAGGGGAAAACCTGCCTTAAATGTAGTAAAAACTTGCAACATTTTTGTTTGTTTGTTTGTTTGTTTGTTTGAAGGAAGGTTTCATGTAGCTCAGACTAGTTCTGAACTTTCTAATTAGCAGAGGATGTCCTTGAACTACTACTGGTCCTCTTGCCCCAGGTGCTAGGATTACAGTGTGTGCCTCTCTACCCAGTAAGGATACACAATTGTAGTCAGCAATTTTCAGGTGGTTTTTTTTAATGCAATGAGTTTTATCTTTTTTTTTTTTTTTTGAGATAGGGTCTCGTGTAGCTCATGCTACTTTTTTTTTAAACTATGTACTAAGGCTAGTCTTGAACTCTTGATCTTCCTTCCTGTACTTGTACTTCCCATCTGCCAGGATTGATTACAGAAATACACCACCACCCTTGACTTATTTTTATTTTTTTGAACTAGATTTTCAACATTTAAATGGTCATATATGTCTATTCTTTCCTTTTATGGCTTTTTCCTTTTTTTTTTTTTTGAAGGAGTGTCTCATGTTACCCATGCTGACCCTGAACTCCGTATGTTGAGGATGGTCCTGAACCCTGATCCTTCTGTTTACGAAATGCTGGATAGAATTACAAGTGTGAACCGCCACACCCACGTATTTCTTATGACTTGTATGTCATGTTTTTTCCCCACAGTGAAAATATCTTTTTTTCTTTTCTTTTTACAGTTTATTCATTGTATATCCCGATTGTAGGCCCCTTCCTCAACTCCTCCCAGTACAACCCTCCCTTCCTCTTCCCCCCTATCCTCTACTCCTAGTCCACTGAAAGGGGGAGTTTTCCTCCCCCGCCATCTGTCCCTAGCTTATCAAATCTCATCAGGACTGATTGGATCCTCTTCTTCTGTGGCCTGGCAAGGCTGCATGGCCAGGGGGAAGTGATCAAAGAGCAGGCAACAGAGTTCATGACAGAGTCAGGCCCTCCTCCCCTTACTCAGGAACCCCCATGGAGACTGAGCTGCCTATCAGCTACATCTGAGCAAGGGGTCTAGGTCCTCTCCATTCATGGTCCTTGGCTGGTGCATCAGGCTGTGCAGGAACCCTTTGGGTCAGATTTTTTTCAGCTTTATTGGTTTCCTTGTGGGGCTCCCATCCCCTCCGTGTCCTTCTATCCCCCCACCCTTCTTCCATAAGACTCCCTGCACTCTGCCCAAAGTTTGGCTGTGAGTCTCTGCATCTACTTCCTTCCCCTGTTGGGTGGAGCCTTTCAGAGGACCCTCTATAGTAGGCTCCCATCCTGTTCCTCTCCTTCCACTGCTTCTGGTACCTATCCCATTTGCCACTCTGAATGAGATTTAAGCATCCTCCCTAGGGTCCTCCTTGTTGTTTAGCTTCTTTAGATCTGTATATTTTAGTATGGTTATTCTATATTATATGGCTAATATTCACTTAGAAGTGAGTATATACCATGTGCCTTTCTGCTTCTGGGATACCTCACTTAGGATGATCTTTTCTAGTTCCATCCATTTGCCTGCAAATTTCATGATTTCCTTGTTTTTAATAGCTGAGTAGTATTCCATTGTGTAACTGTGCCACAATTTCTGTATCCATTCTTTGGTTGAGAGACATCTAGGTTGTTTTCAGATTCTGGCTATTATAAATAAAACTGCTATGAACATAGTTGAGCAGATGTCCTTGTTGAATGGTAAAGCACCTTTCAGGTATATGCCCAGGAGTGGTATAGCTGGATCTTGGGGTAGCACTATTCCCAGTGCCAAACTGACTTCCAAAGTGGTTGTACAAGGTCACATTCCCACCAGCAATGGAGGAGGGTTCCCCTTTCTCCACATTCTCTCCAGCATGTGTTGTCACTTGAGTTTTTTTATCTTAGCCATTCTGATGGGTATAAGATGGAATTTCAAAATTGTTTTGATGTGCATCTCCCTGATGTCTAAGGATGTTGAGCATTTCTTTAAGTGCTTCTCCTCCATTTGAGATTCCTGTTTAGCTCTGTGCCCCATTTTTAAATTGGATTATTTGTTTTGTTGGTGTCTAATTTCTTGAGTTCTTTATAAATTCTGAACATTAGCCCTCTGTCGGATGAAGGGTTGGTAAAGATTTTTTCCCAGTCTGTAGGCTGTCATTTTGTTCTGTCGACAGTGTCCTTTGCTTTACAGAAGCTTTTCAATTTCATGAGGTCCCATTTATTAATTGTTGATCTTAGAGCTTGAGCTGTTGGTGTTCTGTTCAGAAAGTTCTCTCCTGTCCCAGTCAGTTCAAGTGTCATGTTTAAGATGACTTTTTTTTTCTGGGGTGGGGAGGCAGAGGCAGGTTAGTCAAGCTCTGTGAGTTAGAGGCCAGCCTGGTCTACATAGTGAGTTTCAAGGCAGCCAGGGCTGCATAGTGAGATCCTGTCTCAAAAAACAAACAAAGAAGACATTTCTCCTCCAAAGCAATACATGCTTACCCTCCTGCCCAACACTTTCCTTTCTTACAGTCTGTTCTTTATGGAGATAAAATTGTTGTGACTAGTAAAGTTAAAAAAAAAATCTTTCTTTCCAACTGGCAAGCAATTACCTCAAGATCCTTTATTGAAGATGACTTCTTTCCCACCTATTTCAAATGCAAAATTTAACACAACCAATTTTTTATAGAGACGTGGACTTATTTGTGGGTTTTGCTCTCCTTGTGCTGCTTTTCTGGCACACTGCTGTTGTAGTTCCTCTGTAATGTGTCGCCTCTTGATCTTTTCCTTAGTTATTCTTGGACAACTTGCCTTGCATATGATTTTAGAATTATCTTGTGAAGCTACATGAAGAAAATCCTGCTAAGATTTTAATTTGGATTATTTTTAATTTATAGGTTAATATGAGAAGACTTTGTGTCTTTACGATACGGAAGCTTCCCACCTAGGAACTGCTGTCTCTTTCCATGCGTTCACAACTTTATAATCTTCAGTAAAATTTCATAATTTTCCTCTCGTGAGTATCATACATTCTTGATTAGGTTTATTACTAGTTATTATACAGTCTTTGTTATATTGTGAATAGACCCTTTTAAAATTGCATTTTCAAGACGATCTTTTGCCAGAATATAGACAGGAGAGCTTTGACTGTCTGGATGCAGACTGTGCAGCGGCCCTGAACACCAAATGCTCTTATTTGTTCTAATAGACTGCCATTGGTTCTCTTAGACCTTTCAATTAAATGACAATATAGTCTGCAAATAATGACAGTTGCTTTCGATTTTCAGCTCTTTTTTTAGTTGCCTACCCTCCACTGCCTGTTAGGGATGTAACAATGCGTACTTGGTGAAATGATCCCACCGCGTCTCTGGCTGAATCTGTTGCTGCAGAGGGTAACACAACAGATTTCCCAGTGTTAGTCTGGTAGTAATTCCAGAGGCTTATAGCCTGTAGTCCTTTGGTGTTCTTTCATCTCTCTGCCTGCCTCTTTATTTCTCCTTTGAGCAGGCTATCAGAGGTAGGGGGTGGAGTCTTTGGAATGTGGGCAGGACTCAGTTAGTTTGGGCTAGCTCTAGGGACATATTAACATGGAGAAGGAACAGGAGCTGGTCCTGAAGGATATGAACAGATGAACGCTTTCCCAATAAAAGTTCTACCTGCTCATTAGTCAGAGGGAAGGTCATTCAGCAAAGGAAAAGTGGGGCTTCTGCTGAATATCTAGCTAACAGCGTGGGGCTTCCTCGGGGAATGAGGCAGAAGTGAGCCGATTTGAAACTCCTGTTCCTTCACCAACGTAACTTCTTCCAAGCACTGACCAAGGGAAAGATGCCGACCAACAGTCATCTTTTATGTGTGTGTAATTTAGTTTTTGTCCCAGCAATCGGGTTGCCATAATAAACATATTAGCAAAGTGCTCACTCTGTCAAGGTCTGTTCAAAGCAGCTTTCCCGTATCATCTCCCTTTATCTCCACTGCAACCCCACAAGATGGATAGTATCATTACACTCATTTTTTCAGTGAGGAAATTGAGACAGAGAAGGTTAAGCAACTTGCCCAAGGTTCCAATACTAGTGAATGATGGAGGCCCAGTTCCAACCCAGGCAGTCTGACCACAGAGCCTGCTCTCCTGTCCGATAATGAAATTATATATTATGCTCTGATGATCACATGGTTTTAATAGTCCCTTATGTTTATGTAACGGTTATAATTCTTTTGTGGGACTGAAGTATATGCTCTGAAGGCACTTGCAGATGTATGGGCTGTACCTCATTTTCAACACTCAAGAGTTCCTTTTTCTCGTTTCACACCCCCAGGAGATTGGCTTTTCCGTGGGAGCAGCAAAGACAGAGCGTGCCTAGGTCACGCTGGCTGCCTCCCCAGCAGTGGCTGAGGTCTACAGGGAGGGTTCTGGCTGAGGAGGAGCCACAGAGCAGCCTAACATTCTAAGCAGGAAATTAAAAAGGGCACTGACAAAGAGTACGCATAACCTTTACAGCTCTCTCCTCCTGCCTCCTGAGGGCCAGAGAGGCCAGTCTGTTTGCCTAATGAGATGTTTTCTCTCTTCCCAAGACAGTGCTGGGGGCACCAGGCGCAGGCTGGAGGGTAATACTTGGCATGGGTGCCCCAAGGACACCTGGGTCCTGGTCTGTGCTCTGACCAGTGGGGAGGTCTTTCCCTGAGCCACACAGCTGATGTGTCAATGTCACATCAGCTTCGCGCTTTGAGTGCCAGTGAGAATAGCTACCAATCTGCCCCCACCCCAGGGGGATGGGGAGATTAATGAGGGACTGTTTGTCAAGTTTGCTTTGATCCTCGCCTGGAAAGAGCATTTCAGCCCAAAGAACAAGGGAGATGATTCTTTAATAAGATCTTCAGGGCTCTCAGGCAGCCACACTCAAGTCCTATGTCTAACCCTGGGCAGATCATTAAAACCTGGAGGGTACCGTGCCGCTGAGCTGGGGCTGGGAAGCCAAGACTCAGATGTCCTAGGGGCGGCTGCCTTTGTCCACCCTCGCAGGGATGGGATCAACCTTGAAGGCCCTGGAGGAGACTTTCTAAGGACTGAGGGGTCTCCTACAGACAATGGGAGGCGAGGAGGGGAGGGGTGGAAGCTCAGCGCCCCCCACTACTGATTTGTATCATTCCTCATACACCTGTGTCTTGTCTCACACGCGCACGCACGTATTTGGGGACCTGTCCCAGCATGCAGCAGATGCTGAAAAATACTGGTCCTATGAATGGATGAGGGCCAGAGGAGAACAGAGGCTTAACCCAAAAGTCTAAAAATCAGTGTCATAGCTAACATTCATGGAGTGTGTCGGCATGCTAAGCGTTCTACGCTAAATGCTTTACAAACAGCCTCTTTGAGCTTTCCCAACAACCTCCTTCTGTGAGTACAATTGTTACGTGACGGTAAGCAAGGCCAGAACCGAGGTTCACAAGAAGCACTACTCCATCCTGACACGCTAGTTCTGCCCTTAGGGCAATTTAGTAAGTTTTTTTTGCCCAGCTTCTGGGCTTTGCCCCTCACCTTGTTATCCATAGATCAGTGTGCAACAATGACTGGATCCTGCTACACGTGGCTTGTTTATTAAAGAGAATATCACAGGCTATGCTTTCTCTACCCAGGCTATTTACATGCCAAGCTAGTACAGAGCTGTAACGAGTAATAGTTCTGTCTGTCCCTTTCTTTTGTTTTCCGTTCTCTTGAGTCTGGACATATAGCTCGGTTTGGCCTTGAACTTGACGTCGCCTCCTGCCTCAGCCTCCCAAGTGTTGGGACCGTAAGCACGTGCCACCATTTCTGCTTTGCTTATCCCTTCCTATGCTAAAAATCGTGATTACTTTTCTTGTCTTACATCTGGGTGTGGAGTGAAAGCAGCAACAGTGAGTGCTCTTGCGTCTTTACTCATTTTTTTTTTTAATATTTTATTTCATTTTTTGTGCATCAGTGTGAAGGTGTCAGATCCCTTGGAACTGGAGTTAGAGACAGTTGCGAGCTGCCATGTGGTTGCTGGGAATTGAACCCGGGTCCTCTGAAAGAACAGACAGTACTCTTAACCACTGAACCATCTCTCCAGCCCCTGTCTTTACTCATTTTACAGGAATACTCTTATGTCATATTTTGTTAGTTTAAGGGTAATTGTCTCCATTTTCAGTTTATATCCCCCCCCCCCCAAACACACACAAACCCTGGATGTGGGCAGTGCCAAGGATTGAATTTAGGACCTTGAGCATGCTGGCTTCTGGTTCCTGATGTTTTATTTGAAGTTTTTACAACTACAGTCATAAAAAGGATGGACTTGTAATTTTAACCATATTCAAAATAAAATCTGGACTCTTAAGATACAATGAGTCTGTTTGCTTTTCTAATTGCCTGCAAATATCTAGGAATTCAGTGGGGCTTTTTCATTTGTGTGACAGTAAATTTCAAGCTCATTTGATTGCCTCATCGGTCTTAGATCAATTAAAAATTTCTATAACCTCTATTTTGGGAGGAACAGGGTAGGGGGTACTGAGAACTAAACTCAGGCCTCAGTATGTTAGGCAAACATTTGCTGCGAAATTGCTTCCCCAACCCCATGCTGCTTATCTTTTGATTATAACTGCGTTGTTCTATTTAACTGACTTTACTGTATTTTTTTTTAATTCCCAAATGTGAATTTAATGTCAGTATTTGTGGGTGTGTGTCTGTGGAGGCCGGTGGGAGGATCAAAAGAGTCTCACTATGACTGGCCTTAAACTCACGGAGACCCTCCTCTGCCTCTCAGGTGCTGGGATCACAGAAGTGTTTCACTATGGCTAGCTTGTACTTATTCACTTAACTGCTCGTGGAGAGAGAATGTAGTTTATACAATATTACGATAATTACTCACAGTTGCTTTGTCACCACATAGAGAAAAGCTTTGCAAATGTCTCTAATAATGCGATACTTTTATATTTTCTTAAAAGGCTATAAGGACTGTGGACATAGCTCCTTGGTAGAGCGTTGGGGGTCTTGGGTTTGCTCCCTAGGCTGTAAGCAAAAAAAAAAAAAAAAAAAAAAAAAAAAAAGTACACATGGAGCTAAATTAGATAATATAAAAATTAACCAATTGAGAATGTGACACCTTAAAAACTTGTCTGGGGTTGGGGGTGCGGTTCAATAATGAAACAGGCAGAGAAGAAATGGGATAAAAACATTGAGGGAAGTTAAGTGCTCTTAACAACGAAAAGCTCACCCAGAAAAGTAAAATTACAGATGTTCTTCAGAATCAGGCTTAAACTACACTCTGCCTCAGTTTCTCAGTATGCGAATTGTAATCGTCGGGCTGTTGTTAGGCTTGAATGAGTTCATTCCAACCTGAAACTGGTTTTTTTTTAAGTGCCCAACAAATAAATATCAGCCATTGCTAAGAAAAATTATACGATACAGCATTTCTCCACGACGCACGGAACCAACGAGTTCAACAAAACACTTTTTAAGTTCTTTGGCACAGCCCTAGGCGCCACCTTTTAAATGTCACGTCAGTGGCTCAAACGTTCCAAGCTAAAAGAATGGATCATCCTGGCAGTAACAGAGGCCCGGTGAGGGCCCCAGGGACCAAGTCGCGGCTGTGGGCACAGGCACAAGCTCTGTGCTCGGCTCTGACTAGACGTGTGGAGGGGAGCGTGCCAGCCCTCCAGTTCCGGCGTGTAAAGACTCAATTGCACCTCACTCTCGAGACGCCCTCGGGTGCATCTTTCAAGGGACGAGTGCACGAGTGGGCTGTGTCCAACACGGGTCCTGGCCCGCAGGGACCCAGGGGTCGCGATCCGCCCGTCCCAGACCTGCCCAAACCTGCGCGCGTTCAGGTTCCGGCCACGGCAGCCCGGGCCCGCGCGTTCGAGCCCGCGGCGCCGTCCCCACCGCGAACCAAAGCTTACCTTTCGTCGGTTCCCGTCGCCGGTGTCGCGTCCCTCCGCCACCGACCGGAGCCCCGGGACTCCGGAGAGACGGCTCCCCCAGCCCCCAAACCCACCGAACGAACCAACCTCTTTCCGGCGCGGCGCGGCGCGTTCAAACTAGCCGGTCCTCTCCTCCGCGCTCCCCATTGGCTACCGCCAAGCTCGCCGATTGGCTGTTTCCTAAGTAACAAAGGCAGTCCCGAGGTGCGCCTGCGCACTAGTTCCCCTGCTTGCGGGAAGTTCTTTGGTGGGAGTCAGACTGGACTAGGCTGGAGTTCGGTATCCCGAGGGGCCCCGTTTCTGTGGTCTGTGGCCTGAGCCCCGCATCAGTTACAGCGACCACACGTTCGACAGGATTTTAAATCGGCTTTTGTGGCCTAAATGGGCACCCTCCTATTCTTCGTAGCCTTTAACCCCAACACTCAGGAGGCAAAGGTAGGGTGGTCTAGGTGACTTCGGAGCCAGCCAGCCTCTACACAGCGAGTTCCAGGCCAGCCAGAGCTACATAAGGAGACCTTTACTTGTTCTCTATTTTCAGTTAACTTGGTCTGTCCCCACTGTGGCTTTGTGAGCACGTCTGGGCCGAGCAAGGGTGGTAGAAATTTCCTCCACCACAACTGTTAACAGATTAGTGTGGTCATTATTTAATATCTAGCTGACTTGACCCGAAGTCGTTATTTACTTCCCTGGGCCCAAAACAATAGGACAACACTTTTAGTGAAGACAAAAACAAACAAACAAAATCCTTGAAGGGGGGGTTAATATAAAGCAACAAGAACAATGGATGCTCTTGGCTTCTCCGTCTCCAAAGGAACCAATCGTTTAAGGATAGCTTATGGTAAAGGACGACTCCCCTCTTGCAGTGATTTGTATTTCAGCATAGGTTTGAGGTGTAACGGAGGGTTAAGAGAAGAAACAGGGCTGGCCCTTTTTTTTTTTTTCCTGTTTCTCTCCCACTCTGCTCCCTCAAGCTGAGGATGGAACCCAGGGCCGTCGCTCTACCACCGAGCTAAATCCCCAACCCCGTTAAGTAAAAATAAAATATAAAATAAAATAAAAAATTTAAAGACATAAAGTGAGTAACCCATCTTGCAGCTGCACAGTGAAATGGCCCTAGGTCTTCCGTTCATTCAGCGATTGTTCGGACAAGTTCAGAGGTCACAAGTGAAGTGTGATCCACAGAGCCCACAGTCTGTGGGAAACATTAGATATTTACCAGGCGTGGGGGATGATGATACATGCTAAGGCAGAGCAAGAGGGGAAATGTTACACATTCAAAGCCAGCTTCGTATATACATAGTACGGACTAGGCCAGCCTGCACGACAGAGTGAGCCCCTGGAAGGGGGTGAAGGTAGGGGAGAGGAGACGATACAGATGACACAGTAAGAACACACGGGGCAAGGGTGAGTGTGTTGGCCGGGGTGTAGAGGAAGATGGGGAGACAGCTGGAGTTACATGCTGTAGTGAACCTTCCAATGGGAGTGTGTGAGTGCTTCGAAGCCAAGTGTGAAGACCACTAACAAGTCCATTTGATTTATCGCTGAGTTCTTCAGCGGCCTTGGCTTGGACGGTTTTAAAGGAATGGTGCCCTAGATCAGGATGGGACAAAGGGAAGCACCACCACTCTTTGAGGACATTTAATTCTCGAGGGGAACAGAGGGGTATTAAGTACTGAGAGGAGGAGGGGGGTGGGTCAAAGGAGGCCTTCTATGTATAAGAGAGACTTGAATGATGGCGAGAAGGAGCTAAGGAAGCATGAGCAGCTGAATATTAATACAAAAAAATGAGATCAGGAAAGTGCTCGCCGTGCAAGCCTGAATCCCTGAGTTCCGTTCCCATCCCCCACGTGAAAGCTGAGAATGGTGGCATCCATTTGAGCAGGGGCAAGGGTTACAGGTTGGGTACTCGGCAGAGTAGGTTCCGGGAAGCAGATAGGTGTATCTGATTGACTGACCGATTTCAGAGATGCTGCTTTTGGAGCCAACACCTGCAGAAGAGAACGCTGCAGGATGGGGCGAAGGGAGAAACTGTGCTGAGATCTCCGGAGCTTAGGAGGACGCTTTCAGCGCAATCCTCTATAGGGGCAGGAAGACTGGGCAGGGAGCCGAGTCCTGAGGCCCCACAGCAATCAAATGTGGGCTCGAGTTATCAAGAGAAGAGGGCAGGTACAATTGAGCGAGGCACTCACGCTGGCAGAGGTAAATCCCCTAGGAGAGGGATTTTCAGGTAGCTAAACACAGTCTGCTGGCAGCACTCCCAGCAGTCAGGGGAACAGATCCTTCAGTCCTGAAGGACACCAGGCTGGCGCCTCACAGAGCCCATCTGACCATCACAGAGGAAAAGGCAGGAGTTTAAGGAGGATAAGAGATGTTTGGAATAGCTACCATTATGGCAGAATGTTTTTAGTTTTGTCTCTATTTTTTTTTTTTTTTTAGGTTTGGTTTGGTTTTTCAAGACAAGGTTTCTCTGTGTAACTTCCGACTACCCTGGAACTCACTCTGTATACCAGGCTGGTCTGACCTTGAACTCATAGAAATCTGCCTGCTTCTGCCCCCTGAGTGCTGGGATTAAAGGGCATGTGCCCCCGCCAGCACTCAGTGGCAGAATGGTTCGTATGTGGCAGGCACAGTGTCATGTACTAATGGACACATTGTCCTTTATTTTATTTTATTTATGGGGCGAGGGAGGGCTTGAGACAGGGTTTCTGTGTGTAACAGAGCCTGGCTGTCCTGGACTTCATTTGTAGACCGGGTTGGCTTCGACCTTACAGAGATCACCTGCCTCTGGCTTTTGAGTGCTGGGATTAAAGGTGTGCACCGCCATGCCCACCCTACATTGTCCTCTTTGGAAGATCCCGAGGTTGGTCCTGGAGACAGGTGGCTCCTGGAAGGCTTCCTGGAAGGGCAGGCACGGGATCTTGGCTTTGAATAGCAAGCAGGTGTTCTGCAGGTAGCCAACGTCCAGATCCAGCTCTTTACCCAGTCAGTTGGTCATGGGGAGGTCTTTAGATCTCGTGCCCTTGGCAGTGTTCCTGTCAGGCCGGAGCTTCTTGCTAAGGGATCTAAGGGACTTAGATACCTCGGGGAGCTAGGGAGAAGCCTGCAGACTTGCCCTTCACTTCCTGGAGGGAGGCACTCCAGGAAGCATGCTAAGTGCCTCTCGGAAAGGATTGCTGTTCACAATGGGATGGAAGAAACACTCTCACCCCCAAACTCCGGCTACAGCAACTTCGGGCACAGGGGCTCAGGTCTGAGAGGTCAACTTACTCGTAAGACAGTAACAAGAGCAGAGCAAGCAAGCCCGACCTAGTACAGTTGTCTGAGTAACGCCTGCTCACAGTTGGGGGCGCGTCCCCTGCCCTCAGACGCCACCATAGACATCTTGAATTGCTAGAGCAGCGGTCCTCAACCTTCCTAACGCTGTGACCCTTTAATACAGCTCCTCATGCTGTGGTGACCACCCCCCAAACCATAAAATGATATTTTCTGTTGTTGTTGCTTCATAACCATAATTTTGCCTACTGTTATGAGTCGTCATGTAAATATCTGTGTTTCCTGGTGGTCTTGGGTGACTCTGTGAAAAGGTCATGTGAGATCCTCAGGGGGTCGTGACCTACACATTGAGAACCACCACTGTAGCCGCTGCTTGTCCAGCTCCTCCATACTGAGCCTTTGTCTGTTTGTGGAAGTGGACAGAGGAAATCCAGGCAGGAACAGACAGAAACCTTGGTATACCCCTGTACTCACCCCAAGTTAGAAGCCGCGAAGCAGGAGAGAGGGAGAGTCCAAAATGGAGACTAAAGAACTCATTCATAATACTCAGCTCAACCTCCTGGGTCCCCCACACTGGATCCTCCCCTCAAGAGTCCCCCACTCACTTGGTTGTTACCAGGCCAGAAAACAATCCAGGTATCATTTTTTTTTTTTTTTTTTTTTTTTTAGGGGCCATCATATGAGCTCCAGGCACTGGCAACAGTAAATCACAGGCAACTAGGATTACAACAACACATATACTTTTTTTTTTTTTCATAACTTACAAACCAGGTTCTCATCCACTTCCTCATGACAGCCTTTCAAGCAGAATTCGAGATCCAGCCCCATCTTGTAGATGAGGTAACACAGGGCAGAGAAATGAACTGTCTTTTCCCAGAGCCTCTAACACAGTCGGGACTCAAACCCTGGTCTTTTGTCTCCACTTTCTGTTTATCCACTAGGTCTTGCGATCTCAGGCTCTAGCTCTGACCTTGGCAACCTTTATCTGGGCCTCTATCTTTACATCTGTGGGATGGAAGCCACCTGTTCTGTGGCCTCCAGAGTCTCAGTTTCAGCAGGGAAGACAACTGGGTGGCATGTGGAAACTGCCCGGGGTGGGAGAGTCCTCTGATCCCTTTTCTCCTTACCTGCTATTTCTCAGTAACCCTTCCAGTCCCTTCCTGTTCCCGAGGTGTACAGACTTTTCACTTCCACTTTATTATCACCTCATTTGTAGAATTTTAAGGTTCGTTACCTGGAAGCTAGGAACTCACACCTCCAATTCTGTTTTTCATATATACCTTAGTCACGTGTGGGGGGAAAAAAGCCTTATTAACAGCATCTAACCACAGCTTCATCTGGGGGGGGGGGGGTATTTGATCAGGAAATGCTAAATGCATCGGGGCGGGGGGAGGCAGCATGGCTGACTGCCGTGGAGGAGCCTCTGGGTTCCTGGGATTTGCTCTCAGCCTTTGAGGGTCCTGGGGCTGTTGTTATAGTCAGCAGAACTCCAGCCAGGGTCAGAGTCGCTCTGAGTAGTTGACCAAGCCTCTCTGGCTCTGTAGCTCCTGCCCTCCTCCCCAGACTCCTCCCTTAACAGCTCCTGTGCCCATCCAGCTCCCCTACCTCTCGGACACTTGTCCAGGATTGATTGTCTGGGCAGCTCCCCCTCCGAGCAGTAAATGAAATATTGGTTACCAGGAGTGAGGCAGGAGCCAATTAACCCCCAGACCTCGACATGGCAGATGCGTTTGTAGGAAAGCTGAAGCAGAGAGCTGAGTGCACCTGCCTGGCCTTCCCGCAAAGTCATCCAATTAGGGCAGCCCCCAGCGGTGGGGTCCACCGCCCCCTCTGGACCCAACAACCTCAGAAACCAGGGCGACACCAGCACCTACGCCTGGCAGCTGCCTGGATATGGGACGGCTTGCCACTCCTGTGGGGGTGAACTCTAGGAATACCCCCTTCCTCACTCCTCTCCCTCCATGGGCATCCTTCCTTAATTAACCACACATCTTTCTAAAGGGACAGCAACCTGGGGAGACTCTTTGCTTCCATTCCCCAGAGTGGGCTCACATTCTGCCTGTCCAGCCGCCCTCCACCTCCCACCCAGTCCTGCACCTGGAATCTCCCTGTGCCTAAAAAGGCCCTGGCTGAGGGGGCCGAGGGGGAGATACACCCTCTGCTCTTAGCTCCCGACTGCAGAGGAGACAGTCTTGTCAAGGACTCTGCTCATGGGTAGGGTAGACACTGTCTCATCTCAGAAAGGCCTGGAGGAACAGAAAGCTCAACTTGTGCCTGCCCACAGAACTACTAGCGGGAACCACCCTCCTCCCCGCTACATTGAGGAATCGAATTACTGTCCAGAGCAGATACACGGGAAAATACAGACTTCAAGATTCCCTTCATCTGATGCAGGAGACATAAGCCTTGCCTTCAGGAAACTTCCCGGGCTGGATGGTGGCGACATGGTGGCTCTTGTCCTCAGCAGCTGTCTCCTCTGAGAAATAAAACAGGTTCTTGGCCTTAAGGAGCCAATGTTTGATGGGGAAGACACCTTAGTGGATTCTTCAGTGGCTGGGATGTTGTCTAAGTGTCAAGCAGCTGGAACTGCAGGACACTGGAAGCCTTGCAAAAGTAGAATAACCTCCTTGCCTTTAGTCCAGCTCCAGCCGTGCCACAAACATCCTGTCTGAGCGTCCTTCTGTGAGGCCTCATCCACAAGAATGGAGATTTCAACCGGGTATGGTGGCCCATGCCCTTAATCCCAGAACTTGGTAGGCAGAGGCAGGAGCATCTCTATGAGTTCAAGGCCAGCCTGATCTACAAAGCAAGTCCAGGACAGCCAAGGCTACACAGAGAAACCCTGTCTCAGAAAAGAGAGGGATTTTCAGTCCCATCTCTCAAAATGACATGAGGATTATCAAGTCACCAGAAGAAAAAGCAAATCAGTCACCTGGCAAGGCACTCATTGTAGACATGACTGGCATGTTTTCAGTTGTAACAGAGGTCCTGGGCCAGTCCTATGGCCTCTGGGTTAGGGTAGAACCACCCAAGTATGGTCCCTGGGTAGTTTTGAGCCAATGTGGCTATTAAAGAATCAGAAGCAGCTGTGGACATCACTGGGGGACAGGAGGAGTGCTTTCTAATCTAATCACACTTCCCACGGAGACTCAAGTTTCCATCCAGACCTGCCAGGGGTTTTATTGGGTTTGTGGGGACCCGCAGCTTTCAATCTCCAGATCCCACAGGGAAGGAGCAAGCATTAAACTAATTTTATTAAATGGCCACAGCTGGCAGTGGGGGGGGAAATAGAGGAGAGAAGGGAAGATAAAGAAAGCCATTCAAATCTGCCAGCCATGACAAGGGTCCATACATGGGGTCTGGCCAGGAGGGTGGCTACCCCTCCTTCCTGTCTCTCCAGCTGAGCCAGACTGGGAAGCCAGATGGCACCTTTCCTCAATGTAGAGCCTTGGCGTCCTCCAAAAGCCCCACCCCATGGCTTCGACCCATGGCAGATGCTTATTAATTCATCAGGCCTCTGTAGGACTGGGAATGGAAGGAGAACGGGGGGAGGGGGGCTGCCCCAATGCCAGCCTCAGCTCTGCTTTGAAAATGCCAGTTCCTTATGAATATGGAGCACTGGGTGGGAGCACTGTCCTTGGCTCAAATGTTGGCATTTGCCTGTTGCTAGCCCCGTGGTCTTGGCAAGCTACCTAACTTCTCTGAGGTTATTTCTTTATCTAAAAATGGATAAGATAGCCAGATGTAATGCAGAGCACCTGTAATCCCAACTAGAGGAGAAGCTGAAACAAAACAATCAATTGAGCTCAGGAGTTCAAGACCAACCGGGGCAAGATGGTGAGAGACCCCCACATCTCAAATATATCATTAAATATTAGCATCTTTGGCCATGCGAGAACTTTCCACGCGCCCACTCTGCACTTCACACATATCTGTGAGGAAGTATTTACAAGGTTGCTGACACAGGGTCTGACACACGGTGGGTGATTTCTAGATATCAGCTATAATTATTTGGAAATGGCCTGTTTGTGTATTGCAGCCTCCCAGTTACAAGAGGGTGAAAAGAGGAAGTGGCCGGCCAACGAGACTCGGTGTGGCTTGGATTCAAGTGCAATTTACAGAACTTCGCAATGCTGCCACTTTAACGTCCATGGAAGAAAACCTACCCATTCACCTCACTCCAACTTGGGTGTGAGAGTATCCAAAAGCATTCTTCAAACTTTATAAACGGGAAGGGCAATGTACTTTGGGCCGTGTGCATCAAACCTCTTTAACCTTCAATCTGAGAGCATCGGATCTCCTTTTCCACAGTTTACTGGCGGAAAAAACAACACAAAACAAAACAAGGGGCTGGAGAGATGGCTCAGTGGTTAGGAGCACTGACTGCTCTCCCAGAGGACTCAGGATCAATTCCCAGCACCTACATGGCAGCTCACACATGTCTATAACTCCATTTCCAGGGGACCTGATGCGTTCACAAAGACATACGTGCAGGCAAACACCAATGCACATAAAATTAAAATTAATAATACAATTATTTAAAAAAAAAAAAAAAAAAAAAAAACAGGCCCTGAAGCAGTGATCGGACCAAAGTCAGCCAGCTTTTAGTGCAAAGCTGGTCCTTTCTGTGGCTTTCACCACATGGCATGGCACACAGTATCAGGAACCTAGGCTCCCCGGGTTAAAGGTTGCCTGTACCTTGTTCACAATGTTGGCAATAAAAAAAAAAAAAAAAAAAAAAAAAAAAAAAAATGGCGCTTTACCACCACATAAGGTGTGACTGGATTGCTTCCCACTCAGCTGCCCCTTTGGGCTGCGGTGAGCGTCAGACCTTCTGGCCCCTCCCCTCCTGGAGCAGCATTCCTTGCCAGTCTAGAGGACAGGGGCCTGGGGTGCCACCTACAGACTTCCCCAGGGCACAGACTGAAATCCCCACGGGGTGGAAATGTTTTTATTATAGCTTTGGTCAGACCGGGCGCAGCTGTTCCAGGGTTTTGTGGGTGCTGGGAAGCTATCCGGCCCCTAAGCAGCTACTCACCAAGGCAGGGTCACCCTGCAGGAAGCCACCGCGCCAACTCCCCGCCCCCCCCACTGGGAGGAGGGGGTGGGCAGTAAACAGTCCTATTGTACAGGCGTATACAGTGCAGGCTGGGACCAGGAAGGCAACCTGCCCCCCGGGCCGGAACTGCGTGCGGGGAGAGGGGGCCTTTGTGCTCCGTAGCTTAAAGGCCTGGGCTGGGTGGTGGAGGCGGTTTAGGGGCGATTCAGCCTGGGAGGGTCGGCAGCCTGCACCAGGCAATTTTGAAAATGAGTAGGGAATGGGTTCTTGTTTGCCTTTCCCCGAGAGGGCAGACCCAGGGATGAAGAGCCACGGATGGAAAAAAGATGCAGGGGCTCAATCCGAGTAGATGATGAAGCCAGAGAAAGTGCTGTATTTGTTGCTGTTGCCACCGTGCGCTTTGCCTCCGTCCAGCTTGATGAAGACCTCATCGCCAGCGTCCAGATGCAGGATCACGCTGTTGCTGGCATAGTCGTAGTTCTGGTCTGCATCCTGGGCAATGGCGCTGGCCCGTACCTACGGGGGTGCGGGTGGGGGAGGATAGGCATGGGAGGTGGGGCAGTGTGAGAGGGGAAGGAGGTGAGGCAGCCACATGGTGAGATCGAGAGGCTCCAAAGCCCAGCTTTCCAGCCATTCAGGGCTTTGGCCAGCTTTCCCCTGTCATCCCATCCTCAACCCCCTTCTCATCATGCATAATATTGTTTGGGAGCAGATACAGAGGAACCTGGATTCTAGGGCAGGGCACACCCGGCCTGGAAATTGAAGTCCAGATGGAATCTTTCTCTGTGACTCCTGCGGGTCTTACCATGTGCCTGCTGCCCACCTCAGTGCCCCAGGATGGCCCGGTTTGGAAGCTCTCCTTGCATAGACAGCTACTTTGCACTACCTGAGATGGAAGATCTTCCCTCTCTCTTTAACATTATTTTTTTAAATGTATTTTAGCTTTGAGACAGAGTCTCTCTATTATGTAGTTCTGGCTGTCCTGGAACTCGCTTTGTGAGCCACCATGTGGTTGCTGGGAGCTGAACTCAGGGCCTCTGGATGAGCAGACAGTACTCGTAACTGCTAAGCCATCTCTCCAGCCCCTTGCTTTGGCATTCTTTCCTCTTAGCTTCAATAGTGAGCATGTTTCCTGTCTAGCACCCCCACCTGTTCTCATGTCATTGGATGGACAAAGGATACATGGAACTTGGCCACATAGGTGAAGCAGCAGACTGCTAGGAAGGAGCTGTCCCGGAACCAGGGCTGGGCCTTTGGTCTTATCAAGTTCATTCCAGAGTCTTTTCACTGAGGCACTGAGACTCACGGACTGGTGATTCTTTCCCTCCTAGACCTCACTGCCCAAGGCCTCTGAAAGTTGTAGCTACTATATCCCTGGGACAATTACCCTGGCCAAAGGACTTCAGCTCTTCATGTCTCATCCCCGGACAAGAGAGAAACAGGATGTGTAGAAAGGAATCGGGGCCTTACATCCTCTGTGGTCCTTGTCTTGAAGGGGGATGACAGAAGGAGGAGATGGGGCAAGGCAAGCACCAGCATTGGGATGTGAAGGTTGAGGTGACTTTTGGCGGCTCTGGCTGCTTTTAAGTCATTGAATTATCTGAATTATCTAATTCAAGTGGTTGAATTATCTGTGGACGTTTCTGAGGCCATAAGAGAACTAAGCTTTAGGACCTAGAGTCTCCTTAAAATAAAGGATAAAGAACAGGAGAAGAGAGGCTGGAGAGTTGGCTCAGCGGAGAAGACTGCTGACCATTCTTCCAGAGGACCCAGGTTCGATTCCCAGGACCTGCACAACAGCTCACAACTGTAACTCTAGCTCCAGAGGATCCTATGCCCTCTTCTGGCCTATGAAGGCAATAGACAAACACGTGATTACATACATACATACAACACCCATACACATAAAATAAAATACATTTTAAAAATTAAAGAGAGAGGAGCCGAGCAGTGGTCACGCACAGCTTCGATCACAGCGCTCAGGGGACAGAGGCGGGCAGATCTGTGAGTTTGAGGGCAGCCTGGTCTCCATAGTGAGTTCTAGGACAGCTAAGGCTACACAGAGAAACCCTGTCTTGGAAAACCAAAGAGAGGGATTAGAATGGCTAACTAAGTGGCTCAGCAGTTAGAACACTGGCTGTTCTTCCAGAGGACCAGAGTTCAATTCCCAGCACCCACATGGCGGCTCAGACCTGCCTGTAACTCCACTTCCAGAGCTTCTGACAACCTCACAGACATACACACATGCAAAACAATAATAAAATATTAAAAAGAAAAAAAACAAAACAATGAGAGAGAAAGCAGTGGGGAAGGCCATGTAGAAAAGGGTTCTCAGGCAGGCTTTTCCACAATCCCCCTCTATCCCGCTCCTTCTCTGAAAGCAGCACCTGCAGCCCCCTAGCCCAAGATTAATGTCTAGGCTGAACCCAAATCACAGCTGACAGTGGGGGAAATAGAGGAGAGGAGGGCTAAAACAGCTGATTCAGCAGCAATGCCTAACCAAAGAAGGGCCCAACACACCTGAACGCAGCCCTCCCGAAAGCCAATGTCCTTCCAGCCTTTGCCCTCTCCTTAATCTCTTCCCCAGGCTGGGCTGGAACATGGATTATAACTGGGAAAACATCTCCTAAAGGAGGCCGGAGAAGGGGTTGAGGAGCTATCACTTCAGTCCCCAGGAACCCACACGGGAGCCGGAACCGACCGCTGCAGGCTGTCTTCTGTCTTCTTCCACACCAAGAAATGCCATGCCTCCCCACAATAAATACATATAATGAAAATTTAGAGGCAGGCCTGACAGTAGTGGCGCACACCTTTAATCCCAGCACTCGGAGTCAGAGACAGGTGGATCCCTGTGAGTTTGAGGCCAGCCTAGTCTACAGAGTAAGCTCCAGGCCAGCCAAAGGCTACACAGAGAAACCCTGTATTAGAAAAACATATAAGGTGGGAGGAAACTAGGAAGAGACTGTTTATCTAAGCCTTCAGTTTGTCTGTTTAGAAAACTGAATGAGAAGTCCCTATCTCACTGCTGCCACCTTTACAGCAGCCTTTAGGTGCTAAGGGGGAAAAAATTAAGTCTTGATAGGGCTTTAAACCAGCACAGAGGAGCTGAAAGCAGGCAGCCAACTTCTGTATTGTTCCCTGGGCCCTAATCCTGGCAGTATTTATTATTACACATGCACTTCATTATCTTTGCTAATAAATTACTACTAATAACAATTATTTTTATTACCCAGATTAATTTAGCCTTAACTCATTAAAACAGTGCTCTTTAATAGCCAAATCCATTAGAACACTGTCATCCGTCAACAGGAATCTCCTGGTGATGTGACAGGCATCAGAACTGTTATGCTTATGTTTATTATTTATTCATCACCATGATTGTTGCTGTAATTATCCTAATTATCCATGGAAGCAGCAAGAATTTATGCCCTTCCATCCTCAGACAGTAGGGGATCCTGAAATGAAACCCAGGGGTCCCACATCCTTACCCAAGACTGGAAGCAGGGGTGTCCAGCTCCTCTTGGGAGCCCTAGTGAAGATGGGAAAAATTGAAGTTGCCATGGAAGCCAGAAAGCAGCCTGTGCCTTGTTAGGAGGGACTGCCAAGAGGGGAAACCGAGGTAGTGCTTTGACCAAGGGAATCGAGTTGCTAGGGTATAGTCAGGAAAAGTGCTCCTATCCTCAGTCCATGCTGGGGTCTTGGACATGAAGGTACAGCTCCCAGGAGTTGCCAGCCTGATTCATAAAGTGATATTGGCTCATAGATTTACTTGGTCCCTTCTATGCCAGGTAGTAGGCTCTATGCTGTGAATGGTACCAGAATCTGTTTGTTTGTTTGGTTGGTTGGTTTGCTTTGCTTTTCTGAGACAGGGTTTCCCTGTGTAGCCTTGGCTGTCCTGGACTTGCTTTGTAGACCAGGCTGGCCTCGAACTCACAGAGATCTGCCTGCCTCTACCTCCATGAGTGCTGGGATTGAAGGCATACGCCACCACCGCCCGGCTGAATCTAGAATCTAGAAAGAGTGGTTGGGTCTCTTTCTATCCTCCAGATGAGAGGCTGATCCTCAGTAGCTTTTTTATAGCACAGTCCTCAATTTATATATCTCTTTCAGCGTTTGTCCCCCAAGCCGTCACCCATGTGTAGTCCTCACCTCGCTATTCCCCCTTCCCTGGAAACACAGCATCTGACCACTGGCATGTCCTCATACAGCCTGGCAGTGTAGCCGTGCTTATCAATCTGTGTCCACCCTGACCTATCTGAACCATAGATATGGAGGTAGTTGTGGGCAGCTCAGCTGTCCTTAGACTAGAACCCTTTCCTCAGGCTCCTCCTCCTAAACACCAGTACCAGGTGCCATTAGAGCGGGAGTATTAACGCAAAGCTATCCCTGTGGATGGGGACCAGTGGGTCTTACACGAGGATCCTTAGGCACCAGGCGTGCAGATGGCAATCCCCATCTTGCCCAGGGAAAAACCAAAGCCCAGACTGGAAACCTCTTTGCAAGCAGGAAGCCCAGAACTAACTCAAAGCCCACGATGGCCTCCGATCCTGGCATGGCATGGAAGGTGGCACGGCATGGGGCCTATCCTCTGGCCCCACCCACTGTGCCCCCCCCATTGTTTTCCCTGCCCACTTAAATTTCTCACCTGCCTTCCTCTACACTTGGCCCTCCCCTTCCTCCTTAGTGGCGTCACTTAACTTGGTGAACAGAGATAGATTCCTTCCTGCCAAGTGGTTCTGAGCTAGGGTAGGACCGACCCATAGAAACACCCTTCCCAGAGTGTTTTGGAGACAGATGTTGCCAGATGCATGCCCAGGCCCCCTTTAACACAGTACACACTGAGCGTGTTATCATAGTCCGCTATTGCCATCTCCACTACATAAGCCATGAAGTCCTAGAGGGCAAAGGGGCTAAGCCCTGGGTGCCAAAAAAGGCCTCAAACCTTGTTTCCTATTGGGGTCACAGTGAATGCGCAGGATGATTGGTGAGATTCAGCAAGCCTCTTGGACAATCTGGAAGACGTCACAAGAGGCTGCAGACTTCATTGCCATTTTTTGTTGTTGTTGGTTTTTGTTTTGGTTTGGGACATCTTGAGTAACTGTTAATGTGTCTTTGAACCCCTGAAGTGAGCCTCTGGTAGCTTGTGGTCTCCCCCCCTTCCGTTGAACTCTCCATGAGGCTCTGCTAACACCCTGCTCTGCTGGAGGTGAAAGAAGGTGTTGGAGAAGAGACTAAGGCAAGTGCCTGCACTATGAGCTCACGCTATCTTTTATTTTGGGAGCCTCTACATGCCCTATGGCTTCGGACCCCTTTAGTGGGCAGTCTAAGGCCAGACTAGGGCCTGGTGACCACTCTTCAATCCCAGCAAAGCCCCCAGTCCCTTCAGTCTCAGCTTTGGGCCCGCTCAAACTTTCTTTGAGGGAGGAAGAAATTCCATCAATGAAGGTGACATTGCTGCATGCCTTATTGGTGATTAATAAGGGAACTTGGGCTGTCTGCAGAATGAGCCTTTGCTGGATGCTGGAACCTTCCTATTTGGTCAGGAACCAAGGACAAAGAGGAGAGACACCAGAAGCCTGATACACACAAATAGAAGAGACACATAGCAGTAGAGGGGGAGGGAGTGTGGACCCAGAGAAGAGAGACAGAGATGAATGGCAGATTCCGGTAAGAAATGGTCAAGAGACAAGAGAAAAAAAGAGGCAGAAACTATACTGGGGACTGGGAGGCGCAGGCAGAAGAAAGAAAAAAAAGAGGACAGACTTCCACACGGATAAGCTTTCTCCCCTCTCCTATCCCCAAACTTTGCAGATCCCAAAGCAGGCTGGTGCTGCAGTGGGAGGGGTTCCGAGAAGATCTGGAGTCTCAATTGCAGGGGATTCCTTCCAACTTCCACTAGCCCACCCCACAGTTCTGACCCTGGCCTCTGCTAAAAGAAGGTTCGGCCTGACCACGCCCCCAGGGTGGGGCTCGTGCAACCCAGAGGTGAGAGTGCAGAGAGCTGGGAACCGAGGGTGGGTGGTTCCGAGGACAAGGCAGCGCTTCCGCCGTCCCTGTCTCAGACACGGGCGCTCCAGGGAACGAAGAGGACCCTTCCAGCTCCCCACCTTCTGGGACACTGGAGGAGCTGCACCTGGAGACCTTAAGGAGGGGCGTTTCCACCATTCCGCCCCGCCCCTGGAGGAAACTTTTCCCCTGAGGCGCTGGATAGCTCCGGCACTCCGGGGAAAAGGTTGCGCATTCCAGGGGGGTTGCAAAGCGTATCAAATCAGCCCGGTGGTTCCTTCTCTACAGCCAGGGATGTACTGCAGCCAAGGCTATTGGGGACCGGACTCCAACTGCCTTTGTACCCAAAACATTTCCCACTGCCCTCCTCCTCCTGAGCGCACAGCCACTCCTCTTAGAGCCCTCCGGCGCGGAGACTGCTTCTCCTTACCCGTTCCCTAGAGCGCATCCTTGCTGTTCCCTTAAAGCCGGTCGGCGTCAGCTTGAATTTTAGCTCTCAAGTGAAATCAGTCTGAATCAGCCTCCCAAGGGCCAACCCCCAAAGGACCAGTCCGTGCGCCCTAGAGCCCTGTGATCTGACTAGTTGGATTTATCTTTACGCATTTCCACTCCGCGGGTGCCCTGTAGCTTTTGCCTTAGAGCTGGAGCCCAAGGGCTGAAGAGTCAGGGGTGCCCCGCTAATTACAACCATTCTTCACGCCATAGTTAAGGGGGGCCGCTTTAGGGTACTCTACCTGGCTTACCTGTCGACTCTGACCCAATCAATACACATTCTCCCGGGGCTCCCTGGGTGCCCTGCCCCCAGGTCAGCCCCTTACCCCCTCATGGCCCACCTGGCCGTTCTTGCAGAGGTCCGCCCACATACTGGTGCCGTCGCCGCCGCGCATGAGGACGTGGTAGGTGAAAAAGTAGGTGCCAGGAATATTGCATGTAAACTTGCCGCTGGCCGCGTCGTAGTTGTTGCCCAGGTTGGTGACCACGTCGTCAAACTTGAGCACCTCGTAACCCTCGTGAGGGTTCTTGAGGCCGGCGTAGAAGGCCACGCGTGGCACCGTGGTATAGGTGGCCGTGCTGATGGCGCCGCTGCCTCCTGAACCAGGCAGGCCAGGAGGGCCAGGCTTGCCTGGTTCACCCTTCTCTCCGGGCGGCCCCACAGGTCCCGGAGGACCCCGGTCCCCTGGAGGCCCGGGGGGGCCCGGCTTGCCGGTGCGGCCCGGCTTCCCCTGGGGGCCCTGCACCAGCGTGGAGGGCGGGGGCGCACCGCTCTGCTCGCTCAGAGCGTCGCCGCCGTCGGACCGCGCGCCGGCGCCGGGGCCCCGCGCGGGGTAGGGGTCGCACACCATGCGGCAGGTGCCCAGCATCTCATAGTGGCCGTCCGGGCCGCCCGAGCTCACCAGCACGGGGATGAGCACCACCAGCACGAGCAGCATCACCACGCCCGCGGCGGCTGCCAACAGCGTCTTCCGGCCGGCGCGGAGCCTGGGGAGAGCCGGGCCACCCGGCCGCGCCGTCGGGGCAATGGTGCCGGCGGGTAGGGGGCGCGGGCGCGACGCCCGCGCTCAAGGGCGGTCCGGCGGGGCTGCGGGCATGGGGCCGGGGCCCGGGCGCCGCGCTGCGCTGTTTGCGCTGCGGAGCCCAGCAGCCGGCTCCGGCCTCGCGCTTCCCTCCCGCTGCGCTGCCCGACTGAACGCGGCGGCCGCCGCCTCCCGCCTCGCGCGGAGCTCCTCCCGCCTTCCCGGGCTGGGGCCACGCCTCCCCGGTTGGGCCCCGCCCACCCGCTCCGCTGGGCTCGGAGAGGGCGAGGGGTGGGGCTGCGGGCGGGACGGGCGCCTAATTGGGCCGCGGAAGCCTAGAGGCGGGAGGGGCGGGGCTTACGAGACCCGGGTGGGCGCCACGGAGGTAGCTGGATGGTGAGGCTAAGAATTGGAGAGGGGCCTAGAGTTAGGAGGATCCCAGAGGGAAAGGGTGAGATGGACCAAAGAGCAAACGGAAGGGAGAGCCACGGGGAGAGACGGGGAGCTCAGTGTGGCCTCGTCACAGATGTCCCGAGGGTTAGTCCCGAGGAAAACCGTGACAGAGGGGCAGAGGACTACCACCTGCAGGAGGTTGAGGGATGCGACAACCCCCCCCCCCATCTGCAGGGGACAAAGCTGTGCTGACTGAGGTACAGAGTGAGGGGGTAGGACAAGAAAGAGGGACAGGATGAGGGCTAAAGCCTGGAAGGAAGACTACGGAGGGCCCATTCCTTAGGCCCCCCAGGCCTAGCATCCGGATAACTTGTCTGGATCTTTTGCTTTTAGGATGCCCAGAGGGATCTCCGAATTCTAACAGCAGCCTCGGCTCCCTCGCCCCACCCCACCCCCGCCCCTGGGGCTATCCGCTGGGCTGCCTCTACCTGGGGCCTCTTCCCCGCGGCTTCCTCTGATCTCAGCTCCTAGCTAGACAAGGGAGAAACAAGAAACAAGGACCCTGAAAAGATGAGGGACCGCCCCCCCCCCCCCCGTGTCTTCTATTAACGCTGACCGGTGCCTGATAGTGCTGCATTTTCTAGCTACCAGAAGAGGAGGGCTGATCGCTCCTAGCCCCTTTAGGGGACCCTCTAACCCTTACCCTATCAGGTCGTATGAGGCTCTCTTCTTCCTCGAAGGAAGGCATGAAGTGTTTTGGTTGCATAAACTGAAATGTGTCAAAATATCTGTCATGTTATTTGAGGCCCAGCTCGCTGCTGCTGCTGTTCCTCCTTCACCCTCCGTCATCCCAAGAGGGCTGCGTCTTCCCCAGGCCTCTGGCCACGGTAAACAATGACACTCCAGCTTTCTTTTTGCCTTCAAGACTCCTCCCAGCTCACACTCCCACCGCCGGCCTTCCCCTGTCCACTTGATTCCCTGACTATTCCAAAGATTGAGACTAAGGGACGCTGAGTAGCCAATGGTAGGAGTGGGGGGTGGGCAGGTCGCTGTGAGCGAGGACCTTGTAAGTACTAACCCAGGTCAGAATGACGTCCGTCACCAAGGAGGAGGAAGCTAAAGTGGACTGTGTTGGATGCTTCGTATGTAGGATCTCATCTGATCTTCGCATCAATCTAGTTATAAATCCCACCATTATCCTCATTTTACAGATGGAGAACAGAAGCTTTGCGAAGTTAAAAAAGATTTGCCCCCAAGTCACGAAAGTTAGATATGGCGGAGGTGGGATTCAAGCCCGCAGCTTCGCTCCTCCCTGTTCCAATCTCAACGCAACAGGGTCCCTGGGGACGATTTATTGTCTAAAGTGCCAGGTGATGCGAGAATGCCTTAGGGCCGCTGAACTTCTCCAGGCAGACTCAGGCCCGGTAGCCCTCAGCTGTCAGCGGCCTCCTGGTTCCCGGGGACAGTTTCTTAAGCGTGATTCCCTTAGCCACGGGGCTGGTGACCCGAGGGGCACGTGCGCGGGCATGGGAGTATGATTTATCCAGACCCCCAGCCTCCAGCACGCGCGCTCGAGCCCCTCGACCCCTAGGCTGCTGGCGTTCGTTGGCTGCCCAGAGCCGTGGCTTGGCGGGCGGGGGAAAACCCACCAGCCTGCGGTGGCGGAGGGCTGGCGGGGAGAGGGGGCAGAGAGCACTCACCCCAACCCCCACCCCTACCCCCACCCTCACCCCGCGCGCGCTTGCCGGTGCGTCCGAGAGGCGCGCTCCCCGCCGCACCGCGCTCCGCCCCCCGCCCCGAAAGCGCGCCCGCTCCCCTGGCGCGGTGTGGCGTCTCTGTCAGCCCAGCCGGATTCTCCCCGCTTCGCTGGAGTGGAAAATAACGGCTTCAAACTTTGCAGAAAGGAGCTGGTGCCAGCACTTTAATTAACAGCCATCTTGGCCTGTGAGCCTAAACCGTCGCCTTTCCCCCTGGGCTCCTCCCCTGGGCTCTCCCGGCCCCGCCCAGGTCCCCATCGGAGACCACACCTCTCTCTTTCTCCCTGGAGCTCAGCACCCCATTTACCTGGGAGATCAGGTCTGGACTGATTGAGAGGATGCTGCACTGACGGCGTCTCCCCATTTTAATTAGTTAAATGTCTTCATTCTCAAAAGCTGAATCCAAAGATTCTGGAATTAAAGAACGAGGTGACAATCCCACCTGGTGATTTTAGATCAGTGGCCTCGCCTCCACACCTCCACTGCCCTCCTCTGGGCCTTAGTTGCTAATATAATTGTGTCTAAGGAAGCCTAAGGAAGTCCTGTCATCACACACCCTTGGCTTAAGTTGGCTGTGTGTCGTGCTGTCTCTTTCCTGAAGACTGCGGTATTTGGGATAGGAGAGGACAGAGGGTGTATGCTTCTACGTTTAGAGAGGGAACCACATGAAAAATAACGGAGTCTGGAGTTCGGGCTCTCCTGCACACCCATGTGTCTGTCTGTCAGTTTTTCCTCTTTATCTTATTTTTTAATAATTTATTTAATGTTTACAGTGTGTTTGCATGCTCTTGTGCTCACGGTGTGCTCTTGTGCATGGTGTGTTCGATTGGGCATCCATGTGATGGCACATTCGTGCATGTCAGAGAACAACTTTGTAGGGTTGGTTCTCATTTTCCTCCTCTACGTGGGTTCCCAGGCTCTAACTCAGGTTCCCAGGCTTCCAAGGCATGCCTTTACTTGAGCCGTCTTGCCAGACTCCTTAATCTTTCTTTTCCTTTCTTCCTTGAGACAGGCTCTTGCTTTATAACCCAGGATGGCCTTAAACTCAGTCTTCCTGACCAGAACACTTGATTGCTGAGATCACAGGTGAGTACCACCTCCTGTGGCTCCAGATCTCTTCTTCTCTGTTCTTTGTTTCTTTTTTGAGACAGGGTTTCTCTGTGGAGCCCTGTCTGTCCTGGAACTTGCTTTGTAGACTGGGCTGGTCTTGAACTCAGAGATCTGCCTACCTTTGCCTCCCAAGTGCTGGGAGTAAAGGTGTGAGCTACCACTGAAGTGAGGCCTCTGTGAGGAGGGCAGACAGTTCCCTGCTGCAGCTGGGATTCTGCAGTTGTTGACAAAAAAAAAAAAAAAAAAAAAAAAAAATCTGGCTTTGATTTGCCTCTCCTGAGCGAGGGCTCATCTATTTACGTGGTGGTTCCTCAGTGCTGCAGCAGACTGCTTGTGCGGGGGCCGGGGGAGCATGGGAAGAGGTGTTCAAGTTTCCTAACTTCTGTGTGGCTGTATTTAGGGAACCAAGTAGCTGCTCCTTGGTGTTTGGGGGGTGCTCTGAAAGAAACTGAGGGGCCTGAATGTGTGAGAGCCCGTGTTAGTGGTGTCTGGGAGGTAGCAATGGCTTAGTAGCAGGCAGATCTGCTTCCCCCTCCCTTGGCTAAAGACACCTAGCTGTGTACTGCAAGAGGGTGGTGTCCTGCCTGTGAACAGAGCTCAGTGGAAGCACTGTTTGGCAGGAAATAAGTCATAACCGCTAAGGTAATAAATATTATTGCAGCCAGTGTGCGTTTTTATCCACTTACTAAATGCAGAACCTATTTCAAGCACTTTGTTCGTTTGTCTGTTTGTCTGAACAGGGTTTCTCTGTGTGTGGCCTTGGCTGTCCTGGACTCACTTTGTGGACCAGGTTGGCCTCGAACTCACATAGCACTGCCTGCCTCTGCCTCCCAAAGTGCTAGGAGGCATGGGCCACCTCACCCGGCTCTGTTTCAAGGACTTTATATGGATTCCCTTCTTTAAAATTAACAACTGATTATCATGGATTTAAAATTATTATATCAGCCAGGTGCCGTGGTGTATGCCTGTAATCCCAGTGCTTAGAGAGGCAGAGGCAGAGTTTGAGGCCAGCCCGGTCTACAAAGCAAGTTCTGGACAGCCAAGGCTACACAGAGAACCCCTGTCTTGAAAAAACAAGTTATCATATCTTTTAAAAATGATTATGCTGTGTGTATGAGTATTTTGCCCACAGTGTGCCTCCTACCTGTGGAGGCCAGGAAAGGGCGTCAGATCCCTTGGAACCGGAGTTACAGATGGTTGTGAGCAGCCACTATGTAGGTGCTGGGAATTATATGTTTTTTTTTGTTTTGTTTTGTTTTGTTTTTGAGATAAGTTCTTTTAACGTAACACTGGATGTCCTGGAATTTTATATGTAGACCAGGCTGGCCTTGAACTCAGATCGATCCACCATCCTCTGCTTTCTAAGTGCTGGAATTAAAGGTGTATGCCACCATGGCTGGCTATTATGTCTCTATAAGACAAACTTCAAGGAAGACACTGTTATTTGCCCTGTTTTATGGCTAAGAAGTCCACGTGCTGATAGGAGTCTGTATTAGGTGTTAGGAAGCACAAATGATAGGCAGATGAAGACTGACCAGCCCACAGGACCCTAGGGAGGCGTTACAGAGGAGGCATCATTGTTTTGTACCTGTCTGTCTATTCATTCACCTTTTTTTCATCCATTCTGTAAAGCAATTTTAACTGACTAGGGGTCCAATTTATTACCACAGGACATATGACGAGCAAGAAAAGGCTTCCGACCTCCTGTAGTTTACAGCGTATCACTGGACTGTGGACTGTTACACAAGCAATGGCTATTAAGCCTGACAAGTGTGCTGCCTGGGAATGGGTGAGAATGTGTGACATCCACACAGTATCCTTCT